CGAAAATTCCATAGAGCAAATTTTYAGGAAATTTACTTTTTTACAGCCAGTATTTATACGCATAATTGTGGWCTAATTTTCTAATAGTGCAAATGAACTTGAAAAATTGACAAAAATTGGGRTTTTTATGCGAYTTGAATGAAACTCACASRTCTTTTGGACAAATAGATGTTCTATTAAATGCGAAATATTCATCTTGCTACCCGCATYAAAYTAGAAGTTAGGAWTTTTTTAAAAGAGCGGGCAGTTGGACGAAAGTGGAAATTGTTGGTCCTGCATCGGCAGATTTGGTAAAACACAGAATTTTACATTACTTAAGTCAAAATTTCCAATTTTTCAGTTCTGAAAGCTAATCTGGTCTGCGATTTGCAAATTTCAAATAGCTTTTTGCGCCAGATTGGACGGCAAGAATTTTTAAGCAAGAGCATGTAGTTAGACAAATGTGTTCACTTTTGACAAATTTGGCAAAAATTAAGATATTGCATCATTCCAATGAAACTTGTAGGGTTTTTAGCTTAATGTGATGTCTGTTGGACCTATAAATTTCACGCGCCTGCTTGCTCTACAGGAAAAGTTGCAAATTTTTAAGCAAGAGCGTGTCGCTGAACCAATGTGTTCATTTTGGGTCGTGCATTGGCAGAGTTGGAAAAATCAGGATTTTCCATTATTTAAGTGGAAACCTCATGTTTTTCATCCCTCTCAGATCTCCGCTCAGATTTGTAAATTTCAAGTTGCTACTTACTCCTGATTGGACGATACGAATTTTAAGCAAGAGCGTGTCGATGGACTGGTGTCTACTTTTGAGCCCGCTCTGACAGAGTTGGCAAAAATCAGGAATTTTCATGATTCACATCGAAATTCTAGAGTTTTTAGCGCAATGTGTTTTCTGTGAAATGTGCAAATTTTAAGTGGCTCCTACCTCTAGAAGGGGAGTTTCACATTTTTGAGCAAAATCGTGTGGTAAAATCGCGTGTTTCCGTTTAAGTAAAACTGACGAAAACATCACTATGACTTACAACAATACTTAATATCTGCTTTTATTAATAATTTTACAGTATAATATATATATTACAGAATTTTCGAACTATATAATTATTAGCTTACCGTTTTCTACAATTCATTACTCGTACAGTCACTAGTGTGGTCATTTGTCTATAGAATAAACTCTACTTAGAGTAAGTCCTAAATTGGAATTAGTTTCTTCTGTCATTTATTTTTAGGCTGCAAATTGGATAACCAAAGTGATGAAAAATCCAATTGGGAATGGTGAAACTTATGCTAAAATGGGCGCTTAATAAATCTAAATTTACATGGTAGAGCTGCGTTTATCGTTTGGGAAAACTTGGCTCGGTTTATGAAACTAGTAAATCAGCCCTAATAAAAATGTCCCCTTAGATTGTATCGATAGTATAAAGCGGATATAAAAACGTACTTCGATGGGAAAATCAACAGTTTAATCTCCTAAGTAAGTATATTACAAAATTGAAAGTCATTAGAATTTAGAATAGTTAGGATAGATAGATAGATACGAATTTTCTTATGAACATCTAGTTAAAAAAACATCAACGAAAAAACGTACTTTTGCTTGGTCAACTAATCTGGAATAAAGTGTTTTGGCACTAATGACGATGCACCTTCAGTGTTCATTGTTGCAGAGTTTGAGCGCTTTCATTATCCCAAGCTTCACTTCTGATATCACAAATTGTCTTATTGAATTCCTTCCAGCAAATTGGAACACTTTCACATGCCCTGTAAACGCACTAACCCTGATTGGATTGATAGTTTTGCATTCTTGGCAGACGGCTTTATGGGCAATTTCCACTTAGTTGAAGCTGAGATTCGCGTAGAGAAGCAGAACCCATCCATCGTACTGCGGTGTGGATGGCCTGTGGAAAGTTCGTTTGGTCCTAGCTTGGCTTAATGCCAAATATCAATCGTTCCCATCCATGCTGGAGCCGCGCAAAAATCTGCAAAGTTTTGCCCTCAGATCACAGTTTTTGGGCAAAGCCGCCACTTTACCTGTTGCGCAATGGGGGCCGGTCGATGCCGTGATCCAAACTGGCGGCTCTTCGGTCCCTCATTTGGGCGGCCAGCATCTCAATTTCCCAGTTGGAGCTGGAATTTTCGTACTCATCTCCATCTCCAGACTCGCAATCAGTTGGATCGTTTTCCGAAGTTTCTCCCTCGGCATTATCCGAATCAGTATCTAAGTACCCAAAATGCCCACATCAGCCAACAATCAATTAGAACACAGCTAAAACAGGTTTTACCTGTGGTCGACTCGATATTCAGCACGATGGTGTTGGACCGGGAAGGCCACGCATTGATAGGCTCGGGCAGCTCCTGCAGCTCCTCCTCTTCTTCGTGAGTCGGTTCCTCCCAGGACTGTGGGTCTTTGCTGATGATTGTGTCCACTGACTCCTGAACACAAGCTTAGAATGCCTGCTGAATGCACCAGTCATTGACTCACCGTAAACGAGTCATCAGTCATGGCTTCCAGCTCGCAGATATGCGCCTTCAGCTGCAGGATGATGTCGTTCTTGCTCCTCAGTTCCTCCTCCAACCGGTCGAAACGGTCTTGAAACTTCTGCTGCATGTCGTGCAAATGGGCGCTCATCACCTGCTTGATTGCCAGCAGAATGTCCGCAAAGTACTGCTGCTCATCTTCCAAGGAAGCTGCAAAACGTCCCAGAATATTAGAGTTGCTTGGGCAGAGAGTACAGTCGCACCCGTTAACTCACTTTTTATAATCTTCACCTGATTGTTCATTTTGTTGGGGACCAGTTGAATGCCGCAACGCTCCAGTTCATTGATTTTCTCCTGAAACATTTGGGCAAAGTTGGCAAAGTTTGCAGGCAAAACTAAGCTTGCTCCTACCCGCTCCTTAATGTCCAGCCCATTGTCAGTAGGAGAATTAATGAAGGGAAATAGGCTCTGGGGCGTGCCCAGAACTGTGTTGGCACTATTGGGGGGGCTTTGCAAGGTGTCGCGATTGAACGTAACACTTTTCGATAGTTTACTGTGCCTTGCCGCGTATCCTTCAATGGTGGGCGCCCTCATCAAGCTGAAAACACCGTTAAGGCTCAAAGTGAATTTAAAAAATTGTTTTAACCTTCTAAACTCGCTGGAATCCATCTTCCGGGGCCTCGGTTCGGGCGGGGTTGGCTTCGTGGCCTCCAGTGGCTGCTCCTTCGTTTTGTCCTTCTCCTTTGAGTCTTCCGATAGTTTCTTCAAAATTGACTTCAGGTTTCTGCGTTCGGGTGTTTCGTTCGATTCGTTGGACGAATGCAGGGGCGAATGCGTCAAAGGAGCCGACAGGAATTGTTTGTTTGATCGCTGGTTTTGTTGATGCACTGACGATCCCTCTGACTGCGATCTGCAATTGAGTGGGTTTTTTCGGTTGGGGGCTTTCAGGGTTTATGGAAAAACGTTTTGTTTAGGTGGTGCACACTAGGCAGGGGTAACACTGTGTTGAGTTGCGCTTTTGAGTTGTTGCCGCTCCCTGAGGTGCGATAGTTTGTGCAAGCGTAGTGGATTTATGGGTAGAAAATGGAGGATAGGGCGCCAGCTTGCAGAACTCTGGTAATAATAACCTGAATAACCTTGTGTATTTCATACCTGGTAAGGCCTTCGCTAGTTTCGCTTTGCGCCTCCGGAATATCCAAGGAAAAGCTGCGTGTCTTCATCGCTATTTCCAACTCTTCGAGCTTCTGGCGCTCGTTCAGGATCTTCAGCTTCTTCACGAAAGGCAAAGGCCCATATTCCGGCGACAAGTCATCTATTGATCTGGAAAAAGAGCGTGGAAGAAATTAGCAAAGGCGAAAGCTGATAAACTAGCTTATTTTCTTTGTCAACAGCCCTGAAATGTTGATATAAATTCCAAGCCTTTAAAGGTGCTGTACAGGAGCCTGCCAGCCAAAGTGCTTAAGGACTTGTTAGAGTTAGAAGAAGACTAATTTAAGGAAAACTATCAGAAAGTAAACAACGATTTTACTGCTTACTAGGCAAACAGGGGAAACACCAAACTAAAACAAAATTTACGCGATTGAAAGCAAACGGGTTTGAAATCTACAGAGTCATTTGTCTATGGGGGGTTTAGTAGCGTCAAAGATTTACAAACCCATATCGATATTTGTGAGGTTCCACTGGAAGCGAAGAAACTTCCCGCAGTTTCGCATGGACATATCTTCAAGTTGAAGGAATTGATTTAGAATCTTCCCATGGAATGGGAGTCTTAAAAAACCTCTAGCCCTCACCTGTAATGTTTGGTCTTCCTGGTCAGGACCAGGCCTGAAGATCTTTTGACCACACCATTCGCCTCCTTGGCTGCTGGGGCATCGGACAAATCCCTGCTTCCATTAAAGTGTCCCTCCAAGTCCTTGGAAATAGCCGCCCTTTTCAACTTTGACCAATGGGCGGCATTTCTGTCCGTACTCTCCGAGCTGGCCAAGGGCGGCTGGTCACTTTTCACTCGACTATCACTAGACTTCCCACTAATATTCTCACTACCACTATGTACAGGGTGATCGCTTAGCGTACTGGACGGGTTGGGCACAGTTGATGCTGCGTGGAAAAGATCAGCAAAGGCGGGCGGTTCGCTGTCCTGAAGAAGCGCGTCTTTGATGCTGGTGTCTTTTTCCTTGACGGTTGTATGCAACTTTATTCTATCCCTGGAATATCCAGAATGTATCCAAAGTCCGGAGTTTTAAGGGAACTTTGGGGGTACCTAAATGATATCTTATTATTAAGCAACTTGGCTGGAACAACTGCTAAGGCATTCTTTGTAGGACCAGAAATCGATGCTCTTGGCACATGCTGCGCACTAACTGGCGGCGGAGATGTGGGCTGGCTAACTGGAGGTGTTTTGCCTAAATCCCAAAAAAATGTCCAGTTTTTCCTCAACAGTTGGAAAATTACGTTACTTTTTATGCTCCGCAGCAGTGGCTTGTGTCCCCCAACGCCGGTTTTGGCTGCTTTGGGCGCTGTCTCCTCCTTGGCCTTCAGCATGAGGATCCGCTGCAGGAGGGGCAACCCCGCCCCGATAGGCTCTGTGAGGGAGGTCTCCTCTATAATAGGAGGAGGAGAGCGGATAGTGATCGACTGAGGCGAAATGAGCGGGGATGATTGAGGTAGATGGCCTTTGCCTTTTTCCTCGTTGTCTTGCTTCTCCTTTAGGAGCCTGGAAATTTTCATCTTTAATTTTTTTCTGAACTGAGTGGGTTTTCATACATTAGGCGCTGCAACAGTGGCAACCCCGCACCCAAAGGTGACACTGAGTAAGGCTTTTCGTGCTCAGGAGCAATGCTGTCTTTTCTATCGCTCTTTTCCGGTTCGGGATGTTCCTGGCTCAGGTCGTGCGACTTCACTCTAAAAACCCCAATTTTCATTAAGTAATTGTGAATTAATATACAGGGTGATTCGTAAGACGTAGTCGCTATAAGCGGCGGAGGAGTTTTGGGAATTTTGATTCGAGAGTGAAACCAAATTCCTATTTCTTATGCCCAAGAAATATCAAATTATTCAGCGCTTAAGGGGAGTTTTACCAACTTTTTATAATAGGGAGCAACCGCACTTTACCAACCCTCTCTGCTCAAGAATCCATTGCTTGGGACTCAGCTACGACATGCGGATGAACATTTCAATTTTTGTAGCCTAAACTTCGATTGTTCCAGAAGGAGTTCGAAAATTTTCAGAGTTCAGGGGAGTTTTGCAATTTTTTGCTTAAAAAGCGAAGCCGCCTCTTATGTATTCAAAAAGCCATACCTTGAAACTTAGCGTCGGCATTTAGTTGAATTTGTAGCCCAGAAACGCGAGATTTCCAGGTCAAAAGCTGAAAGTAATCGAAACTCATGCAAAGCTTAAATAATTTTTATATGCTGATAAAACCACACTTTTTTAAGCATCTGGTTAAAAAATTCATAGCTTGGGACTCAGCTGCGGAATTTGGACAGAATTTTGAATACCTGTAGAACCAAGCGTCGTCATTAAAAAAACTGAAACTAGTCAAGATCCAGAAGGAACTTCATAAATTTTCAGATTTTTTTAAATTAGACCGGTGAAGCCACTGTTTGAAGGGCTTCTGAGTAAAAAATGCATATCGTCCGACTGGGAACAAATAGCTTTGGCATCAGGACAAAATGTCTAAGACTGGTATAAATCATATTTCTCAATAGAACTTTGGAGCTTTGGAGTCTGAACGAAACTTTCGGGATTCATAGCCCAAGAAAAGCTGCTAATTAAGACGACAAAACCCAGTGAAAGCTTAATTTTTTTTATACCGGAAAAGCACACTTTTGTATGCATCTGCTTAAAAAAAATCGTAGCTCCGCACTCTGCTTTGGTATGGAGATAAACCTCTGAAATAATGCAGCAAAAACCTTGATTCTTACGAATCAGGAGGGTTTCAAATGATTCGGGCTTTGGTGAAGTTTTCAACTTCCAATGTATTGCGGGGGCTAAACTAAAAATCCTCAACTTCGACCGAACATGAAACAAATAAGGCAGAATTTAATGTGGAAAAGTTGAGGTAATCAACGCTCCAACTCACCTCGACATCCTCTTCAAAGTGCCCTTGGAGGCGCCGTTGCCGTTGCTGGGGCCCAAGCCGGGGGGCTGAAGTGGCTGCAACTCCAAACTCTCGACTGAACGGCGATAATGAGTTCGGGACTTTCTTAAAGCATTTTTTAATCCCTGTGGAAACCAGCCGAATTAAATATGTAAATCGCCAGCTTTGATGTGAATCATTTTGCCCAATCAGATTTTTTTAATTAAGAATTTACATGTTTGAAATCGACCAAAAAACTGATCTTTACCTTTGCTTCGCTCTTGATTTTGTCCACAATTCCCTTGTTGTCATGCCCATGGTGATGGTGATGGTCGCTCTTTTGATGTGGAGGATGTTTCGAGCTAGCTTTAACCTGTAAAAGCTGTAGATGTGAACGGTGTGTTCATTAATTTGGCCAGGCACTACGAAGCAACGCCAGAAATTCGGAAAATTAAACGGAAGAGAGGAATAGGAAAGAACTAACTATAGCAAAAGAAATAGAAGAATATCGAAAATCTATAACTAACAGTATGGATGAAGGGATGATTTAGTGTTAGTCAATGAAAATCGACGATGTTTTCAAGTTTCCGAGTTCGATTTGAACAGTGGCTGTTTTCTAAATGAGTCCTCACATACACTCGATCATATTTACGTAAAATCAACATTCAAAGTATTTGCTCGAATAAAAATGCGTTGCGCTCAAATTCAAATTGAAAGCGTTTCGATGGATTTTCAATTTAAATCATGTTAGAGGAAACGAATTTTAAATTAAAGCCCTGGTTGCTTGAACCGAAGAAACTGTTTTGAATGTATTTGATTGAATTAGGGCTGTCTAAGATTCGGCGATTTTACCTCCATCAGGCGCTTTCGTCCTAAAGCCTGCAGAATCTCCTGAGCTTCCGGATAGTCCTTCATGGCATTGAGCACATCTTCCCGAGAAAGGGAGAAGAGTTCGGAATACCCTACCGATCGTACATCAGCGGTTCTCCTGAAAAATTAACAGTAGTTTTTCGTGGTTTAATTTTAAAGTTTCCTGCCGGTTCTGCGTGTAAATGCACTTGCTAGATAAACAATAAGCCCCCAAAGGGCCATAAATGATGCCTGTTGTTACATAATGTGTAAATTTCCCGCTTGATACTTTGCATATTTGATTAGAAGGTAATGTTGATTAGTCTGGACCCATTTCAGTTTGCCGAGTTCTGGCAATTGAACTATGCAAATTGGCTTGCTGGATGAGACACTCTGGAATCCATCATAGTTCCCTAATCGCGTCAGACTTCATTGACTTGTTAAATAGGCGAATTTTAACCGCGATTTCCAGCAGAGAAAGGTGCCGAATTCTCCTCGACTTACTTGTTTAAGCCATCCAGATTTAGAATGCCAATTTCCCCGAAAAAATCGCCGGCTTTCATCGTGGTCAGTACTTTGCCAGTTTCGCTAATAACTTCTAGGATTCCATCGGCAATTATGAACATTTCCCGTGCCACTTCGCCTTTTCTGCATATGGAGTCGCCTGGGGTAAAAATATAGGCTTTCATCTTTAAAACTAAATCTCTTAGAAACTCTGGTTGGCACTCTTGAAAAATCGTCACCTGCAACAAGGTGGTTTTCAGCTTTCCTCACGACCGGCATGTTTTCCTACATAAATCGTAGTTTACATGCAGAAAAAGTCAACTATTCAGCCACTTTAGGTGACTAAAAATTACCGAAACTTTAGTTTCTAGTTTGGGTTTTATTTGTGTTCCTGTTGTTCCGGGAAACGTCCACGTGTCCCGAATTATTTATGCAATTTCCTACCTTCTTCAGGACGGTTAAATTGACATGAAGAGCCAGTTCGGTTTTCAGTTTGTCTGGCAGCAAACCTAAGGCTGTGTTTATATCGCCTCCTCCTTGTATCCTGCCTCTGGACCAGGAATAATCGTACCATCGCAAAACTCTTCTTTTCATTCCGCCTGGTACCTAGAATAGAACATTTTAAAGTCGGGTTCAGTTTGAGGATGTAATGGATTTTGATTAGTTTGGATTGGTTGGCGTTTACAAAAAAAATTATAAGTTTTGTTCTGGAGCTCATACCATTATGGAAAACTGGAAAATTATATTGAAATCACTATACAACCGGATTTTTTATGACCACGTGAAAGTTGGGTTCAAAATTCACGTTTTCGCACAGCTGCACTCTCGCCTTCAAAAATTCATAACTTTTAATCAAGAGCAAGTAGCCAAATAGGATTTTCACACGTTTTAGAAAATACTGGCGGCTAAACATGTGGAAAATTTTATTTAAATCGCAGCAAAACCTGATTTTTTCGGGCTCAGTAAATATTGGCCCAAAAATCTACGTTTCGATATAATCGCATCCTCCGCTAGAAAATCTCCCAGTTTTTAATCTTGAGTACGCAGCGAATTCAAACTTTCACGAGCTATAGAAAATACTTACGTCTAAAGTGTCTGGATTTTATTTGAATCGCTATGAAATCTTGCTTTTTGCGCCATTACGAAATATTAGCTCAAAATCACGTTTTAATAAAACTGGACTCTTGAAGAGTTCCTAACTCTTGCTTTCGGACAAATAGCAATGTGATTTTTTACAGTATATAGAAAATACTTGGGCATGGAAAATCTGAAAATTATATTGAAATCGGGCTACAGTCTAATATTTTGTGATAACGGCACAGTGGAATTCAAAACTAAATTTTTCATGCAGCTGCGCATTCTGCTTCAAAACTTTGCAACTTCCAATCGAAAGCAACTAGCCGCTTGAAACTCCTGCAGTTTATAGAAAGCACTTTGGTCTAAAACATTGCGAAATTTTATGCGAATTGTGCAAATAACTCATATTAAACGTTGGCCCAAAAGTGGACGTTTCGATATTACTGCACCGTTCGCTAGAAAAATTTAGAACTCGTAATCTAGAGCAAATAGCAATTTCAGATTTTTACCAGTTCCAGAAAATGTTTGCGTCTGAACATGTGGYAAGTTTCATTTAAATCGCTRCAAAATCTGATTTTTCGGAGTTAGTAAACSTTGGCTCAAAAATGAACGRTTCGATATAATTGCATCCTCGTGTAGAAAATTTCATTGTTTCTAATCTGGAGCCAGTAGCAAAKTMATATTTTCACGAGTTATAGAAAATACTTGCTGCTGAACAGTTGGCAAATTCGATTTAAGTCGCTTTAAGCYTWATTTTTTGCGCTATTGCCAATCATTGGCTCAAGAATAGACGTTTCAATTTAACAGCACAGTCTGCTAAAAAAATTATAGCTTAGAATCTAGGACAAACAGCACAATCAAATTTGCACMAACTGTAGCAAATACTTGCGCCCAGATATGCGRAAAATTTCATTTAATATTACTGTAAAACCTGATTTTTGGAAGGAGAATATTTCGTGGCTCAAAAATGCATGGTTCAATAGRCGYACCCCCCYGATAGAATTTTTTAAAACTTTTAATATAGATTAAGTAGCAAATCAATATTTTCACGATTTCTAGGAAATACTTCAGTCTGATTATGCACATTTCATGTAAATTGCGATGAAACMMGAATTTTGCAAAATTAKTAAATATTAGCTCCAAACTGATAACTGTACCCCCTGCTAGAAAAAATYACAACTTCTGGTACAGAGCTAGTAGAATATTGAAATTTTCGCATCTTCTAGAAAATACCCGCGTCTAAARATGCTAAAATTTTATGTAAAACGCTAARAAGCCTGATTTTTGCGGGGTTAGAAAATGCTGGCTAAAAATCAATATTTTTATTTAACTGCACTCACTGCCTGAAAAATTTGTAACTTCCAATCTAGAGCAAACGTAAATTTCAGATTCTTGTAACTTCTACCAGAAGCCTGCTACTGATTTTATTAGCATCCCTGCTAACCCTATTTTGTTGGCTTGTGTACTTGTGTGCATTATCTGATAATCAAATTCCTAGCATTAAATCTAAAGCCCACCGAAACTTGAAATTAACACACACTCTAGAAGATTCTTGTAGCTTCAGCTGAGCTACTTTTTATTAAAATCCAATTAAATTAATGGAGCAAGCAAGCACTAGCCTGAAGATCAACGCCATTATCCAATTACACCCTGTTTTTAAAAAATCCCCAGTTTTTCACAACAGGACAATAACAACTTGAGTTTCTCGCCATCGGTAGCCGAAACTCGAATAAACATGCCCGAAAAATTTCATTAAAATCGCACAAAATCCTGATTTTTCCCAATGTGGAAAATTCGAGCCGCAAAAAAACTAGCATCTCCACAGCAAGCTCCCATTTCCACTCACAACTTTCAATCTAGAGCAAGTGGCGACTGGAAATGTCCACAGCCAATAGAACCCTGATCATTTCTTGCCAAAAAAAAACTGAAAAAGTGCTTACCTTGTGATGCCTCATATAAGTCTTCGCCCCATCGAGAAGTCGTTCGAATTCCAGTCGGTTGGCGTTTCGATTGGTTATCACATTTCCTACTTGACCCACGATGGTAGCAAAAATAAACACTCCTATTAAGTAGCTAACTATTGTAAAAATATACCTGGAAAAAGAGAGTTTTATTGGAATTTGTTGTGGAAAAAACTTGGGTCCAGGAAAACAGGATTGTACTGAAACTGGAAGCAAACAAGCACATTTGCAGCTTCCAAGTCCCGCACGGTCTCCTAATCCTGACCCGATTTCCAAATACTTTTCGCAATAAGACCCACCGCTAGTAAACACGAGAAACCATTACCGTACCTTAACTTTCTGGCTAAAACTAGCAGACGGAAAAAGAAGAGAAAAAACTTGGCAGCGGCAGGGTCTAAGTCCTCTCCAACGACAATGAAACTGGTAAATGTGGGGATTTTCATTAATTTCGATAGTGAAAAAAACTGATTGTGAAAAATGTGCGCGGCTCAATGTGAATTCGTGAGAGCGACGAACCCTCAGTCCTGCCGCTGCCAGTGCCGTAAAATGGGGTGCAAATTTTAGAAAAAAACTCAAATTTACCCGTTACTGGTGCTGAACTGCAGTAGACGAGATTTTACCCCTCTGCGCGGCAGCGACCGAGGGCCGTCCACTGAATCCGTCTTTCTACAAACATTTTCAACTTTAATCACGCGAAAACGGTTTTTTTGGCGTTTATTTCCCTTTTTAAACCAACAATATCACTAGAGTCCGGATTTTTAGGCATTGTGAGTCTTGTAGATAATAAAACGCAATATGTTTTGTGAACAAACTGTGCAAAATACGGTCTTTGACAGATTGTTTGACCGTTTTGCGCTTGATATCAGTCAGGCAGAAGAATAAATCTATTTAAGACAACTTCGCTAATTTATTTCATTAAAATTTCGTTTATATTTTGTCCTCCGCTGAAGAAATTTTACGACTTTAGCGCCTTTTAATCCGGACTCAAAGATCACAACATTCACTCTTGCTCTTATTCTGCTTAAGACTTACTCTGCATTTGTTTCGGGCGTTGGTAAATCGCCGATGGTAGTCAGGGTTAATGTGGACCAGTATAGAGAGCCCAGATATTTCCGTGTGAGAGTGGCATAATCTCCAGGCCGATACGGATACACCCAGTCGCCCTATAAAAAGTTCCAAACATCCCTTACTCCATCCCCCAAATCCCTGCGGCAGTTTTACCTGGAAATCTTCCGCTTGCGATAAAAGAAAGTAAAAACAACCGAACCAGTGAGCAAGAATGAGGAGAATATGGATCAGATTCACCACTCGCCATAAGTTTGGCCAGATCGTTCGTGATTCTACCATGTAGTAATAGTTGACAGCCCTGTATACCTAGAGAATTCAGGTTTTTTAGGCAAAAATAGTATTTTAATGGATGTTTCACTCACTTTAAGAAATCTAGGAAACCTCATTAAGGGGTTCGTACCAAATCTCAACTGAAGCAAGTCCACTGGACATAACGCCGTAAGATCCAGCAGGAAGGCACGTGAGCGAAGGTAATGACAGGCCAATTTTTTAGAATCATATACCATTAAACCTTAAAATTTACGAAAAAAGCCTTAAAATCCGTTGGAAGAAGATGGCAGAGGTACATGGGAAGCATTGGAGGAGTTTTCGAACATTTGCCCTGACTGCAGTTAGTTTAATCCTGGTTTGTTCATTCTTAACGGTAACAGTTTTTACTATAAACCATTCAATGACGAAAAATTTGTTCCTGCTGTTTATTGGATTTGCATTAAATGTTCTTCGGCGTTTTTAAACCCGAAAAACCCAACTCCATGCAAGGGCGGATCCTGGGGGGGTGATGGGGTAATCCCCCCCCTTTGTGCTGGGTTTATATTCATAGATAGTAAATTAAAAGTAGAAAAAATAATTTCATAGACAACAAAAGACTGAATTTCTATTACTTGACCCCCCCTGACTCGAAAGCTGGATCCGCCCCTGTCTCCATGACATTTCAATTCATAACAAATTTGGTTTAAAACACAGCAGATCCATCTCAGACGTACGTCATTCGCTTCAACAGGGTTTTGATGTGGACCAAGTCACGTCGCTTCGCCGCTCATTGTCACAATCAGTGTACCATGTTGCATTTAAGAGGTACGGCCGTTTGCAAATCGCTCCGTGAATTTTTCAAAATATTTCTCGGAAGTTCGCAGATTCTGATGAAAGTTAGTGCTTTTGCGAAACTAGAATTTTTTCTCTACCGTTTTGTGTTATTTTCCTGATCGGTAGAGCGATTTTCGCGAAAATACGGGACTTTGAAAATCAATCCGATTCTGACGTTTACTGCCAAAATACAGCACGCATAAACCCATGCGCAAACTTGCCACAGGGACGGAATCTGGTATTTTTGTGCGCATTTCGAGTTCAAATGGCTGTTTGGAGATTGTTGGAGATTTGGATGGAAATGGATGGAGACCACAATGGTAAATTTACTGGAATACTGATTTTTGTATAACTCCCTGAAATGAGTTAAAATTGCGTTTTTTCACTCAAACTTCCGCATAAAGTGCGTATTTTCTTAAAACTACAAGCACTTACTTTTCCAAAAGCTTCTGAAGATTTCCATTGAAAAAGTAGCATAAAAACATATTTGTAAACGAAACGTCGCTAAAAAAAAGTACTTGAAAGGGCATAATCTGCCAGGTGAGCAACTTGGTTTGTGCGAAAACGAGATAAACTAAAAAAATTATAAAAGAGCGTACCAGGCGCGGCTTTAACGCAACTTAGGATCGCCTTTGGCGCGTCCTTTCTCGCATTTCTCGCCAACTCTCGTATAAAGCGCGTATTTTCGTGAAACTACAGGCACTGTACGCATTTTTTAAATAAAGCGTTGCCAATTGAGTCATATTTCTTATCAACTCAACATCTACTCCTCGATTCGAAACTCTAGAAAATCAAATTTAAGGGCCGGAAAAAATTATTGACTATACTGACCTTGTTCTAAATATCCTGTTCTAAACTGTACAGCCAAATCTAATAAAAAAAACAAGTCACTTAGACAATCACAGGTGAGCCAAAAAGTAGAAAACATTTCCTGCAAAAGAAAAAAGCGCATTAATTTATGGGAAAATACGAAAGGAACCATCAACAACAATTCAGAACCAAACAATCGCGAATAAATTTGAGCAATCAACTGAAAGTAGCCAACAAACACATAGAGAATATCAAATATAAATGCATAATATACGATAATAACGATTAAACTGTGGTTTTGGAATATGGATTGGCGTGGAAATTGCGCCATTAACAATGCCTACACTAAAATGGCATACAGGCGCAAAGTGTGCGCTTAACGAATATTTTCGAAATTAAATTAATTGCGGCAATAATATACAAATTTTATGCTCGCATTGGGGAATTATGAGATTTACCAATACGTGATCAATCGATGGAAAATTCGTGTATCCACATTTTGTAGCATCGCTGAGATTAGTGCTGAAAAATGTGAACTTACCTGAAATTCAGGAAAACTCTGTCTAACAATTAACGTCCACATATTGTACAACACACAAATCGTCAACACAAACAACCAATAAAAGTAAAAGTTTGAGTCTGGATTCACTACACTACGCGGTTGTCGTAGGCGCTTTCGTCTTCTTCTTGGCGCTGATCTATTGTCACCTACAAAGAGGAGCAAATGAAAGTGTTAATCGTTAATAATAGAGAAAAACTTAACACTTTACCTGCACAGCCTTCGCTACCGGTATCTTCAACAGTTTCTTGTGCCTCCGGTATTTGCCTAGTGGAAAATCGCTTCAGAAAGGAATCCTCGCGCTTTAGTGGAGGCTTCTGCAACACAATGGTTGACAAAAACTTTAGAAACTTTACGCCTGCGAAACGTCAGGGCGAAATTATTTTCCAGGACCTTCTAAAGCCCGCAAACTCACCAGTTTCAAGACAATACGTTATTTTCTCCTGCAATTTAAACAAAACTAACATTTTTGCAAATTTTTTATCGCTTGAATTTCAAAATTTCACAATCGTGTTTCGTCCTAACGAGCTTCTCAAAATGCATCAACAACTCAACAGACATCGTCAATTAAAATGGCAAAACCTCAAAATGCGCTTTTCCGAATCAACGGGCTGAAAATAAACCAATTGATTTTGTTAATAAATTTTGTCTGATTCGCAATTTGGGGCTCTTTAACGCATCATAAATTGATGCTTTTCCCTAACATGTATCGCATAATTAAATCTGTACATTCTGAACAATGCCATGAATAGTTTGCTTTGTGGAACATAAATGAGCCACAAATGTACAAATGTACGTTCCACTATATCGTGGTTTATTATAATTAGGTGCTTGTTGCTGCGAAACTGTCAGATCTATGGCGCAATAATAATTGCCAATGAATAGCAACAATTAACTGAAATTTGGCGAGTGTTTGCGAGGTTCCAATGGGAGTTTTGTCATTAAATGTTGTACATTTGACGCATTTAGGGCTGCTGTTATTTCAATTTGCGCTTTTCCATACAAAGTACAAAAATATTGAAACATAAATTTCCCCATTTTCGATTAGGTTTATTTGCTGTTTTAATCTCTAATTGAACTCTATTTAAACGGGTGTAAAATTACGTGCGTTGTGCAACGTTCTGGGAATTTCATAAAATCGTGTTTAGATCCCCTTGTAAGGCACTTTATGGCACGTACTTATGACTAGCATATGAGTTTTATCTCTTCATACGCTTTTTTCGTTTTTGTATAAAACACTAACGCAACTTCACCGAAAGCTATGAAATTGCCGAGGCGCATTTAATTAAAAAGCACTGGAAAATGCATTCGCTGAACAGCAGGCAAATTGTTATTTTTATTGGCAAATTGAGATCGCTACATAACTTAAATGGCGACCTCCATGTAAAGGTTAATTTATGGCTTAAGATAATTTACGAAACTGCAGGAAAATCAATTTGCGGGCTTTCTAGCTATTGGAAGAAGCGCGCCTCAAAGTTTGTTAGCAAATTCCTTCCAAGGAACGTTATAGCGGCAGGAAATCCACTAAAAAAATAATGAGAAATGTAAACTTTAGTTTCTGCAAATAAAAATTAAGCAGTTGGGTAAAATTACTGTTCTGTTCGGCCCCTAGATATTTTCCAACTCCTTGCAATTCAGTTATGAAATTAAAAAAAACTCTCTCCATAAATCATTGTTTCCCAAATGCCCGAAAGTTTCCCAAACCACAAAATTTCCCCCGGCTTGCACTTCCTGATGTTTATAAATATTTCAATAATTCAACGTTCCAAATTAGTTGAAACTGAAATCATGTCACCGCTTAAAATATTCAATTTTCAGTTTTCTCGACTATAAGGAATCCGAAAACTTTCCTGACTGGAACATCCCTATGACTGAAAATGCATCCGCCAAGTGCAGGAACTTTGTTTTGCAGCGAAACTTTTCTCATTACATGATTTTCTTGGGCGCTATCTTAGAATGCGGCTTTTTCTCCGGATGTTTTTTCCTGTTGGTCTGTTTACAGCCAGCTTAATGCAGCGGTTTCCCCCAAAAAAAAAAAATCTTATTGGAAAGCTGCAGAGGTTATGATTTTGTCGACCAAAAATTGAATTTTTACATGTGCGGTTTTTCCTGCACAGGGTGTCTGAGAAAAACGTTGCATCCGCTCTAGCGGGTTTAGCTTTGCGCTAGTTGCATTTCTTGAACCCTTCCGATGAAAATACTGTATAATTTAACACATTTTAACACTATTTGAGTTTTTCGAAAAAGTAATGGGAATTTTTTTTCGGGCAAAAATGTAATTTTTTTAAGTTTGTTACTTACTTTTGCTGATATTGCCGAAGAGATTTGCACAGTGGTTCTAAGCTTCATCCACCGCTGATTCGACTTTGTCCTGTAAATATGATAAACTCGGTAAACTTTCAATAGGAACATTTTTCCGTAACCACAATGCATTGGTAAATGTATCACAAATTGTTCACACAAACAAGACTATCTAGAACACCAACAACACCACTGTAATTAGTTGGTAGAAGTACGATAGATGTCTGATGAAAAGAAGAGAACAGTTCAGTTAAACGTTTGTAGTAGTAACTGAAAACTGAATAAAAATCCCGAAAATTTTCGTTTTTTTCTAATATAATAAAGATGAAACTGGAAAGGAAAGTTTCCACGGATTCAGTTTCCTAAAAGTAGTAAATGTTTGTTGCGCTCTCTGCAAAGGAATTAGGCCTGGGTAATACTGGGTTTTAATACTTTGTATGATGGCAAACACTAACGCGAGTGACACGCATATTATGAATATTTTGCAGTTATTATAATTATATGGGGCATCAGATCTTTGAGCCTGTATGATATTTTTTATCTTGTGGATTTAAGGTCGATTTTCTTAAAAAAAACAGCTTTTAGCATGTGGAAATTTTCTGGGTCACTTCTATTATCGGGCCGGTTTGAAAATTTTTAAATTGGTGGAAAAGCGAACGATTTTCTATTAAAAGTGCATCTCGCAAAACTGCAATCGGTTAAGGTCGAAAATACGATTTCCCGAAAATACGACTATTATTTCGGATCTGAAACTTCTAGCATGTTTTTCAATGTGTTCGATGCATTCCTCGAGTCCCTGAGCTGAAAATGATGTAAAATTTAAGACATTTCGAGAAAATTGTAATTTTTTCAAAAAATCGACCTCCACCCTTTGAAAAATGTTGACCAAAAATCAAAATTTTACATGCGTGTTTTTTGAACTCAATGGATTCCTTTCTTTTTTTTGCAACTAGTAAAAAAGTCGTAACATTTTTATGATTTTTGCCATTAAAATAAATAGTTCATTAAACATAAAAAAATGTCATTAGGTTTTAAGGTGCCAAAAACGCAAAATACCCCGGGCAGAGAACGCACATAAATGGCTTTCCGTGTTGTTGAAGTTTATCATTAATTTAATAAAAACCGGGAAATGTAAGGAGCAGTTTGTATCTTTTTTAAACAGTAAATTCCTTGCTTTTCCACCGTTTGTTGTATTTTGCATTGTTAATTTGGTTTTTCAAACTGGAAATTCCTTAACTACTGTGCGCTATTTACAGTAATCAAACAAACTATCTAAAGTGTTTCGGGAGAAACGGTTACGAACTGGTACACTTTTAAGTACTAATAGTGACTGATGTTCCAACAAAAAGTGTAAAAGGATTTGTGATTGGTTGTAATTAAAACGCACTAGTTGCTTTGCAGATCCAGAAAAATCCCTTTACACGTTTCGAGACGAACTCTAAACTGTCTAATGACTCATTCACTATGTTCAACATGCAAAATACAACCTTCTAATAGAGCTACTTTAAACTAAAGAGAATTGAAGGAGTGAAGGAAAGCAGGGTAGTTAAATTGTTGTAAAGAATACGGGCTAATGTGGGTATCTGTGAAAGTGTCGAAACTCTAATACTTTACGAGGAAGTTTGTAGTTTATTGCTCACGTAAAGAGCTGGTTTTATAATGAGGAAATCCAGAGCAACAGGGGAGTTTCGGAATTTATGCTGCAAACCTGTCTGCAATACCATTGGTTAAAATAGGCAATAAAAAGGAAATATCTACAGACTATAAACCTAATTAAAAGTTGCGCCGTAAACACGTTAACAAGGACCAAGGTTGGTTGGACAGTTTCCATCTAGTTTAAAGTAGTCTACATTAGTAATAGTCAAAGTAGATACCTCACAACACGAAAAGTAAGTAAACAGATACATCGCAACTAACTAAAAGTAAGTCAGTATTAGTAAGATGTTGTACAGAGAGAAAGTCAATTGTTCAATTAGTTCGATTGGGCTTTGTCAACGCTATAAAATTAGCCCTTTGAACATCGAGGGTGGAAAACAAGCAATTTCAACTCGGTGAACCCAATCGAACCAATAAAGATTTAATATAGAGACAGGCCACCAAAAACCAATACAGAACAACCAACAAGAAAGAACGACCTCTCAGTAAGTTGCAATGCTGCAGAGGAGGGAATTCTGTACAAGAAGGGCGAGTACCAGGTTGAAATTCTGCAAAATTTGGCTCTGAAATAGCATTGTTGCGATCTGATTGCAAATCAAAGTGGCGATTGTGAGCTAGAAAGTTCTGGTACTTCGCCCATGTGAAAGTTAGATAGTAAATGAGCATAATACGAGTATGAGTCAATTGTTTAAAAACCTCTTGATTTTGCGCAGCGAATGGTAATAGGCCATAACTGCCCTGAGATTGCGCCAACTTTGAGTCGCCGGCTTAGTACTGCTTTTCTCAGATGTAATCGTCTTCTTGCCTTCGGAGTCAATGCTGCTGAAAAGATCATTAGTTCTAGTCATCGGAATATTCGACTCAAATCAATGTCCCAAAATCATACACATATTCGTTTGCTTTCGGGATTGGTTTGTAGTCCGTCCCAAGCCTATTGGCAGTGACGTCATTAGGTGGCAGGCCATATTGAAATTTACTTCTGTCCCAGATTGGTTCCGACGATGATTCTTTTATATCCCGTGGTTGCTTGAACGTTTCGTCCCGGGGATTTGAAATGGTTTTTTTTATTGAATCAGGTAATAGTTAAAGCGCGGTTTTCCAGGGAAAATAAATCGCTTTTTTCCGGTTCGTCATTAATTTGCCTCAAAGCGCACATTATGAAGAAAGCGAAAGATAAATATGAGGAAAATTTACTGTTATGTGAAACTTGAAACTTTCGCGAATTCTAATCAAATGAATTTCCTTCTCGCTCGGTGGAAAAATAATAGAAAAAGATCGACAATTATTACGTCATTGCCAAAAGTCTTGGAACAGACTTTACATAAAGTGACGTCCAATGGTAGACGAACGAACGCCCATTCGTGCGATGGATTGACCAAAAACCCTGGTCAAAGAACCTTAAATTTGAACCTTTCGAGTACTTGGATTAGGAAATTGATCAATTCGGAATGTTTAACTGCGTTTTCTATCTATTTTTCCAATTTGCGCAGTTTCAACCACAAAAGTATATTTTTGATTTTTCAATGATGCTGTAAGTAAATTCTTGTTTAATTAGATTCAAAGAATTCAATAGGTTTAATTACGAGTTGGCTTAATTTCACATCGACGTCTAACTTCAGATTTTCCCACTAATATTATTAAAGTATACGATCTCTTGGCAGACGACAAATGTATTCAGAGACGTGCATTTATTCAGTCAGATTTAACAAATGTTTGTCTCATGCCAGGCATTCTAGACAGTAATGAAATCCAAACGCGTCATGTTTCTGCTCTCCTGTCGAAATTAGCCATAAGTTTCGAAGTTTTGGATGAGCAATTTTCGTGTTTTATACTATTTCGCAACTATTTTGTTCAAGGCGCGCTAAAATTCCGAAAATTGACATCAGGAAATTATGATTGTAAAAAAAACGATTTGTTATACCACAGTGGCTGAGAAACGATTTCAGCTTCCTTCGCAACTCTGTGATAAAAACGTGAGCAGGCTGTTTGATAAATGAAATTTTAACGTGATGTCGCCTGAACTTGGCACTTTTGATGGGTCTAGTTTTGACGATTATTGAAAAAAACGATCGCCGGACAATTAATTTGATTCTGCGAATAAATAGTGTGGAAATATAATTCAGTGACTGGAAACGTGCAACAATTAGTCTTTGAAAATGTAATTTCCAGGCTTCGTAATTGTATTAATTATACTTTGGACTTTTATTTGCGGGTTTTGGTTCATTTTTTTCGTTTTTTGAGTTCCAAATTAAACTGAAAGCCTTTGGTTTAAACGCAGGCCACTACATAACGAATCCTTAAAATCCTCATAAGCTCTAGAGACTAGGGCAGAATTAATGTTTTGCTTTGTGTGTTGTCTTTGTTTGTTTCCTGGCTTTTTAATTAAAATCGCCCGTTTATTCAGCTTTCAAACAACACGAGAACTTGATAGTTCCTAAGCAAATTCAAAGGAAGAATGGATGAGTTGGTGAGAGTAAATGGGTTGCGCAAATGAAGGTCTTCCATTGATTAAAAGCTCTGTTGGGCTTTTCACTGTGTGACGTTGAAAACATTCGGTAATTTGATACGTTCTAACAAGATTATTTTCCCAATTCTCAAAATGTATGAACAGCGTGGTCGATTTCCATTAGTTTAACGGGTACCGTTTCTTTAACAGCTTGGAAAACATCCGGTTAATGGAAGTTATTCGCCATGTTGCTCACGTACTTTCAGTTCGGAGACACTATAGAGCATACAAAACACCAGAGGGAATTTGCGAATCCAGTCTAACGACCAAATAGTTTAAAACCCTTGTCGATGTCTGCAGAATAAAGGCGAAAACGTTGCGGAAAGTTTCGGATTTTGGTCGATGGAATATGGAGGTTCAAAAAAAATGGAGTTTTTGCTGATTTTCTTTCTGAGTTGATGTTGAGTCAATGGAAAATGAACGGGTTTGGGTTAATAACAAAATATCTAGTTGAAAGGGATTAAGGTGGTTGTATAGTTTTTAAAGAAATTTATTTATATCCAAGCTTGGTGCGAAATATTTTCGCTGTTGCAAGCTTGAGCGTTTTTTCTCGGTGATTGGGAAAGATGAATTTGTGTTGAATCGTAAAAGTGTTTTTGTCTTATTCGGTACCCAAGAGCAATAACACACAAACAAATTGGACAATTTTTCGAAAAATTTTCTTTATTGTACGTTGTAGTTACTATTCGCGAGTAAAATAGACCCTTGGAGAAGTATCTTCAACGTTTCAAAGAACTTATTTAGAATCTGGCAAGGGCATTTTTACATTACAAATCGTCATGAATATTTTAAACTTAACTTTTTTAGGAGGAAAACTAAATTACTTACAGAAAATTTTAAAAATCGGCGCTTTTTATGGTTTTTGAGTAAACGAATGAACGGATTTTAATTTAGCTTGCCTCATCTTGTAGGTATTTTTAATGCCTTAAAAGTGTTCAACTTTTTGTCAATAGCATCAACGGTTTACAAGTTTAGTGCAAAAAGGCGCGATTTTTGGCACTTTCTTTGATTTTAAGTATGAAGTATTTGCTTCCTTAAACCCAGAGTAAAGGCGAAAGCGCTGCTGAAAGTTTAAGAGTTTGAACTGGGGCTTCTTGTCGATTGTTTCAAACAGACAAATCTTCATATTCGTGTATAACCTTCATAACCTGGAGTGATTCAGAAGTGTAATTTAGGGCATTCATGTGTTACCTTTGATTGGGACTCTTGCAATCGCTCTCATTTGCATTCGAACTGTCATCCTCCTCCCGACTGGTGTTGTGAGATCGGGGACTATGCAGTGGCGTGTTTGCATCATCCGAACTAACGTCTTCACCAGCAGCGGCGCCCACCATCAGGTGACTCCCATGTCCTGGTGCTGAAGATGCGCCCGCATGGGCGCCACTGTTTGATGACGCCGATGCTAACTGAGCGGCTCCCACCGGAGGAGGGTCGATCTGAAACGGAAGAGTTTGCAGAAAATGATTTTTTTTTTGGAAAGTTCTCCAGTTGAACCGGGTATCGAAGGTGCGTTCAATGATCGAAATTTAACGGGCGTAGATGGATTGAAAGGTGTTTTACGACAGGGGGATTTTTATTGTCCGCGAATTTGTTTGTTGGGTGCTTTCAGGAGGAAGTGCGGTTTTATTGCGGATTTTAGGGCATTGCAATTCGACGCTTTTTTCCTTTTAGCTCAAATACAGGCCTGTGTTCGGGTAAAATTTACGTGAATTCCCATTAGGGTAATTAGGATTTGGGGTTGAATATTTTTATAATTGCACCATTTTTGCCGTAAATTAATTGTTAGTTTACAGTTGGTTCGTCATATTTGTTGGTTAGTCATATTTCTTTGGTTTTTGCAAAGTTTCACCGTTTTCCTGCCGCAAACACAGAACGATAACAAGCGGTTGATTAGTTGATCATTCAAAGGAACCGAAGAAAATACGAATGATGCCTAATTAAACCGAACAATAACGTTGCGAAACTGTGGGCCCACAAAGCAGCCAATAAATATTAATAGAAACTCCCATTTATAACAGTGGAAAAATCTTGCAGGAGAGCACATCAGTATGAGGGGTGCGTCAAAATAATAATCCTTCCAGCTATTGGTTGCGATATATTGCTTTATTTCGTTTTTTCTTTGTTAGCCGATAATACCGAGACGGTTTATATTATAAAGAAATTGGTTTAGCGCCAGTTAATCATGGATCTTTAACCACTAGATCTTTAACATTAACTCGATGTTCTTCAGCTGGGAGTTCTCACTTTTTAAGTGCACATTAAATTAATTAGCTGTGCTTCGACCAGATTGACCTAAATCGATTCGACAATTCGATTTCAATTCATCACACAAAACATCAGTAATCCGCCACATCCGTATGCTTGGAAACATGTATTTGACGGGGAAACTTGATTTGGTTGAACATGCGGAATCGTCCGATTAATCCGCAAAGTGTCAAACCGGGAATACTCAGTTCGATTGATGAAGGGATGGGCAGGACGTCAATGGGGAGAGCGAGCAGCGGGTTCTGGATCAAGAATGACTTTCCTAGGAAGAGGAATTTGAAATTGGCACCGCAATAATTTAAATTGGAAATCGATCGTCTCAGATTCGGCAAGACGCGACCGCTGATTAAACGATACTCTGAGGAGGAATTATGTCGAAATGGAAGGTCAGGTTTAGCGGCCGTTTGTTGCCTTTATAGACAATCCAATTTTAATTAAATACAGATCTGAGTGGCACTTGCTGCCCATAGTTGATTAATTCAATTGGAAACTAGGTTATTAGCTGAAACTTTACTAATAGGTGAAACGAGCTTAATTTTGCAGGCAAAAATGTGCCCTTTAAGCTAGTTTTTCAAAGTGAATCGACTAATGCACAAAAACTTTTAAAGCGAGTAGTTTGTGCTGCTTCAAGCTCAATTGAAATAATTATAACACGCTTAAAAACAATGGAAAAGCCTCTTTTTAAGCCCCCCAAAATCTCTCTCGTGATAGATTGTCGCATGTTTTTCATTAAAAAGCTCTCATTGGTAAGCTGCTGAATTGGAATTTGGATTGTTTTGAATTGGGGACAGATCGAACTTTTTCCACAGATTTTCACCGGATTTATTGTCAGATTAGCCGCAATGGGACATTAAATGCGTATGGGGTTTCTATTGGTATGAATGTGCTTGTAAGGTGAGTAAGTTGGGTTTTTGAAATAATGGCAACTAAATTATTTAACAATGTTTGCATTTTTAAATGCGCAATATTACCAGATTAAACGTAGTTTTCTATAGATAAAAACGTAGCCATGGGGCAGTAATGAGCCTTTTATCTCACTATGCGATTATATGAGCTGAATAGAGGCACTGACCTAATTATTGCAGGTTTGCCCTCATTAATCAAAACCAATAAAAATATTTTTTTAAGTCTGTCGCCTCTATTTTCCTCAGCTGGAGACCTTTTCTCAAAGGATCGAAAGTTTCTGTACTAGTAAATTTATAACTTTTATGAATTTTTTACCTCATCACTGGAATCACCTAATTGTTTTTGACATTGTCGTGCTTCTTTTCTCAATATTGGAATGTTTTCTCAAAACCGCATTGTTGGAATCCATTCAACTTAGCCACTTTCTAAGGTTTATTTAATTGAAATTTCAATTTATTTCCTCAAATGTATTTATTATTATTGTCCCTTCTTGAATGTCCAGCAACACTTTCAGTGCTCAATTCATTTCAGGCGATCCCCAAACAGCAGTTTCACACGTGAGCATTTTTTAAATCGAGAAAATTATCTTGTCGCAAAGGTCTGGAAACAATCGGGTTCAAACACGAACCGCAGGTTTGAAAACTTTCGCCTTACTCAGCTTTACCCATTTTGATGGATTATTTACCGAGATAATTCCGTAGTCAGTAGAAACTTTACAGATGGAAAATCCGCAATATCTTTATATATAGAGTGTTTGAATGTATAATCAGGAAGATCGGAACTAAAACATTGTAAACACTTTGTGAATGAGCTCGTTGCATATCGCGATTTCTGCCAATTCTCATTCCCAATAGATGTTGAAATATTCCTCCGTTGCAGCTAACTGTGCAAAAAAGTAAAGTGCAGCGAGAATACAAACATATTTTCATGGGGAATTTTTGAAATATAAATTGTCATACACATAGCCCCTGAGCAAGTTGTAAATGCACTTACAGTTTTGCGGGGCAAATTCGTTCGGCAAACCACGTTTTTGCCCTTTCGAAATTTTTATTGAATGGATGTGAATAAAGCCGAGCCTGGATAGGAATTTTAAAACAAGGAAACCCATCGGGTTTGCATGCAAATAATTATTTGGATTCGCTTGCCGCGGCAGTAAATAGCACTTTCGTAGTCTCCAGCGAAATAAATCGCCCGAAACGTTCAGTACTTTTTATACAATCTTCATCAGAACAGAGTACAGTAATACGCAGTTATTGCCCCTAGTAAAGCACTATTAATGTTGTAAATATGGGTTTATTTCGAAAATATCGTCCACGTCCCATTAGGTAGGTAATAGAAAGGCAGTGAAAATGCTCTAAAATTGTTACGTGTTTCATTTGAAAACGGCTGAATTAGAGGAACTGTTTTGGAACCTGCTACACCTTAGGATTTTCAATATAGTTTTGCAAGCTCTCCTGATGGCATTAAAGTTTAACCAAATTCAGTCACTTTGGCTTTGATGTGAGGAAACATACTTTAATAAGTCGATTTGCATTTAAGCCCGGGTCCAGCTGGTTGGCGCATCATGCATAATAAATGCGTCTTATAGTAATTATGCTCTATTTTGGATCTTGACTTTAAGTGATTAATGAAGGGCAAAGAGGAAACACGTTAGACGCTAAGTCAATTAGAGCGGCTACGATTATGAATTATTAGCAACCTTGCTATGTTTAGCCTGCTCTTAATTCCTACTTGCTGCTATGCAAAACTGGCATTTTCCAAAGTGTTTTTAGGTTCCTGCTCTAAATCTACAGCTCAATGCAACTGTGAAAAAGCTCAAACAAAAGTCTTAAAGAATTACAAACCCTTATTAATGGTAGCCGTTGGTAGCGGGCCGTTTTGCTGCTTGTTTATGAATTAGAAATCAGCAACTGGTAGACTGATTCATCCTACAATCGATTTTCCCCATAAAGCTTTGTTGGTTTTTCACTCCATACTGGAAGACACCGAAGTTTCCTCGGCAGGCACATATCAGAACTGGAAACTTTTGCTCGGAATGCACATCCGGTGCCGAAAAGGAAATTCGAATAATTTTCACACCGGAAAATCGGCGACGCGCTTCTAGTTTGGCAAAAATATACTTTTCCATTCCCCTATCTACTACTTAGGGTTGCTGAAATAAGCGCTTCGGCATTTTGAGGCGGCAGATAAGACTAAATAAAAATAGGTAGCACTTCGTTCAGAAGGAATCCGTAAAACTGAACTGTTTTCGTAATGCGATTATTCCTTTTTCGTTGCGCATTTTATTTTCAAGCTTCTGAGTGGTCGGTAATAAATTTCACCATTCTACATGAGTGGAGCCATTAGACCTGATAAATATGAGGTTTCCCTAGCTTTGTTCCAGCTTCTAGAAGTGAATAGGGAAAACTTTGGAACAATTTATTGGAATTCCGATGAATAAATTATGAAAGCAAATATCGCACGTATGCCTTCCGATAGTGCACAACCGAATAAACATTGGTAAGCCACCTTAATAACACATATACAAACCAGCTGAATTGACGGGGAAACCTGCTAGGCAACTAATCCTAGTATTAATGCAAATGGGTTCAAACTTGTGTAATTTAAAGCCAATATGGCTTCGACAGGCTTTGATTAGTTTAATGTATTACACCAAGATTACATTGGACGGATACGGGCAGATATAAAGTCTGCAAACATCTGGAAAATCCATAAATATCATCATTAAGCTGGAACTGAACGGAACAGCTTCATTACATCTCAAAGGCCAATAAAGTAATGCAGATGAACACGCCACAATGTATCTGTGACAGGGGTTTACGTGTATTTTAGTGACATTTTCTAAATTACTGTTTCTCATGCCCGTCTGAATGCAAAAATATTACGCCCATTACTCTTAGAGGCTCGGGAAAAGATAAAGAAAGACAACCGTGAAAATCTCGTTAATTTTCCCCTTACTCGTATGTGTGGCAGGAAAAAATGTGAAAATGCCATAAATGAACCGCAACATTTGCGAGACTTTGAAGATGTGTAAATTGGAGGATTTTCTTATGGTTTTTTTACATGTAGCTGAGATAAAGATATTTCTTTTATCCTCGAGGAAAAACGCGAATTCATGTCGCTAAGTCCTTAATCTAATTTAAGCACTTTCGAGCAAAAGCGATCGAGGCGGATGCAAAAGATAGGTCAGTTTCCGGCTTATCGATTTCGCTTAATTAGGTCGTAAAATGCACTCAAAAACCTGGCTTTAATATTGAGCGTACAA